GCCGCCTGCTCCAGGATCACAAAGAACGGGGAGGTGGTGTACTTCCTGGCGGAGCCGCACGTGGACCACCTGACGCAAGCGAAGGGATGGCTTGCGGAGCGCGTCAAGTCGTGCGAGCAGTCGGAGGGGTCGGTCGGGGGCCGAGCATGCGCGGACTCAGTGCTGACGGTGAGGCAGTTTTCATGTGCTACTGCTGCGAATTTTTCTATACCCTTTTCAAGAGAGAAATGTGGGGAGGAATCCGGTCTTGTCCCTGCTGGTTGATGCACGGGGTACAGCAGTCTCTTGCGCCGACCCACACAACACACTTCAGCTCTTACCTTCTTGGCGTGTGTGTGTGTTTCCCGTTCAAACCCTCATCCCATCTCAACTATCATCTACCCCGGCCGAACCTCTCTACGTTCACCGCTCTGGTGTAGGCGAGAAGGGGCTAACACAAGAGGCGCCCCTCCTCCTCCCCGCAAGCCCCCCATGTCCGCGTTCCCTACATTTCGTATTTTGCCTATTGTTCTTTTTTGTTTGTGCGTATTGCCCCCCCATTGGTCCGGCATTCCCTCCATTTTTTGCGCACTTTTCTGGTTGTGTTTGTGCAGGTTTGCCTGCCCCCTATTTCCCGATATTCCCTCAGTTTACAGGGCGCCTTTCGATGTTCGATTAGTTCGTGCGGCTTTGACCCCTATTGCCCGGCATGCCTTCAGTTTTTCATGGCGTCTTGCTAATTTCTCGAGTTTTTTTTCTCTTCTCCCGCCACCCTTGACGCTTTGGGCGGGCGCGCGGTGTACGCGAAGGTGCTCCTGACTAGCGGACAGACGCTGGAGGGCGGCTTCTACAAGCATGAGACCATCCACGACGTCTACGCGTTCTTGCAGTCCAGTGTCGTCAACGGGGGGTGCGTGCGTGCGTCGGGAAATAGTCTTTCGTTTTTCTTCCGGTGTCTCGCTCTCTCTACGCGCGAACGATGTACTAGCCATCCGATGTAAATCAACTTTTTTTGTAGATACAGAGAATTGTCAGCTGGGAACGCCGCTTAGTGGAAAACCCGGGCTTGATAATGTAGCTCGTATCATTTGTTTTTTGTTTGGGGCCGTGTGAGTTTGGTCGTTGCTTCGGCCATGTGTTCTGCGAGCGAGAACCTCTTGCATCCGAACCCTTGCCCCCCCCCCCCCCCCCCCCCCCCCCCCCCCCCCCCCCCCCCCCCCCCCCCCCCCCCCCCCNCCCCGGGCGGCGGTGAAACAATGTTCCACGTGTGTATTGCGCGATGCCTGCTGTGACGCGTGTTGTGTATTGTAGTAGTTTCACGTGCTGTTTTGGCCGATCGGCCTGCTGTGCTCTTGTCAGCTTGTCATTCTCGGGTCGACATACCAGCAGGCGAGTGCTGCCGGGGGAGGCGTGGTATCAGATGTCGTGGGTCGCGAAGACAAGACGCCTTGTGGTCGAGGCGAGCACACACAAAACAGCAACGGTACGGGGAATGGGATGGATGTCAGCTGTGACGAAAAAAAGACTCGAAAAAGAGGCATGGCATAGAATAAAACATCGTACAAACACGTTGGTATGTACAGCGACAATAACGTTTGCGTGTCTCCGACCGTACCGCGTCTCGCCGCATGTGTGTCCCAGAGAGGACTTGCGGCTGCGCACGACAACCGTACCGGAAACCGAGCTAGGAGAACAAATGCTGCCGGTGTCTCTGGCAGATGCAAGTGAGAATTAACAAGGACCGCACTCGTGCTTGCTAGCGTAAAAAGGATGAAGGATTGCCGACCCCCCCCGACCCCATTTTTTTTCTGCGTGTCGTTGGAACCAAGTGGGGCATGTTTGCGGTGGGAGATGCTCTGGATTCATCCCCAAACGAACGCGAATGAAGCAACCGACCACCTGCTGTGTCTCTATTTTGGTGAACGACGTACTGGAACAGCGCGGCTGTTATTTCGTGCTTTGTCGCTTTGTGTCCGTCTTGATCAAGTGTTTTTTATTTTACAGGCAAGACAATACCGAAATGGTACTGAGAAGGGAAATTGGCCAGCTCTGTCTGTCTGTCTATATGTCTGTCTCTCTCTCCTCTCTATCTCTCTTTCTCTCTCTCTCTCTTCAGTGTGTCTGTTTATCTGTCTCTCCATCCCGCTTTCTCTCTCGTCCCTCTTTCCCTCTCTCTCCCCCCTCGTATCTTTCCCATCAACTCATCCCACCCACCCCCCTTTCCAACCTTTTTTTACCTCATTTCCGTTTGTTTTTTGTTGCTGGGAGAGCGGTACTCACACCAGGACAACTTCGACGATCGTGGGCGAAGAATCTCGTTCCCATCCACCGAACCCCCTCCTCTCCTCCTTTTCCCTGTTCTTGGTCCTCGTCGACCCGTGTTTTTGTTGCTTCTCGTGACGTTGTATTCCTTGTCGTGACGTCACCACGTCGGGTGCCGTCTTGCCTTCGCTGTGTCGCTGTTGCGGAATCGTTTTGTCCCCCGTCTTTCGACAGAACTGCTCCCGAGTGCTACCCTTGCGGTGGTCAAGCCTTCCGTGGCGCCACCGCCACCGAAAAAGACCCGCCGGAACGAGTCAGAAGAGGTGTGTACTGCTATACGCATTCATATTTGACCTGCACCCGCATGTGCTGACTTTTTCTCTCCCCCAAACACTACAACACGTTTTTTTTTTGTCGAGATGCGTAAAGAAGGTGCGGCCACCTAAGAACTTCTTGTATTTTTGCCTGGAGCTCGTTGCTTGTTTCCTCTCTCCAGGGTAACCAAAAGCAGCAGCGACTATGTAGGCTTCAGCATGAGGTGCTTCGCGTAGCACCTGGTCTTGATATCAAGTTTTCAAGCCTCGATATTTTGGAGCCTGAACCCGGGTACTTGCTATGTTTTGTGGTGGCGAGTTCCGTAGTATGTGTCATGGCACGATGAACGCAGTCGTTCACAGTTCATACCCCCGCTGTGCCCGAACGAGGAGCCGCCGGAGGGAATAAAGAGGAACGCCCGCTCTGCACTCGCATGGATGTATTGGATTTTGTTCTCCCAGGACAATCGGTTCTTTTTGTCGAGGTGCGGTAGCACACATGTTTTTGTGCGTTTGTGTGTGTGTGGCGGACGTTGAATGCGTTTCATTCGCACCGTCGCCGTCCCTGGAGACTGGCTGCCGGAATGATAAATCGAAAATCTCCGTTTTTATCGGAAATCTCCGGTTTTATCGGAAATCTCCGTTTTCCTCGAAATCATCATCGTCCGCCGGAAAACTGGCATTTGTCGACCATGTGTACATGTTTCCCCACCTGAGCGATGCAAGAGCCAACAAGAGAATCAGAAGAAGGCCGCCATCTTACCGTGTCCGGAAAAATCAGGCATCTTGTTAGTACCACTTCGAGTAAATCGTGCCGTCATCAAGTGGCCGAGCGGTCTAAGACGCTAGCGCAAGGCACTCGTTCGAAAGAGCGTGAGTTCGACTGTTACCTTTGTTCAGTTTTGTCGAAATATTTTTGTGCCAAACGAAACACTACCGTAATGTATGTGACAAAAGATAACACCCCAATGAAAATGTGCAAGAGCCACGACCGTGTGATAAATATCTTTTACCTCTGGTCACACGGTCACAGAAGATACCACACCCCCTAAGTTGAGCCGAAAATATATATTCTACAGAGCCCCCTCACACCGGTGTGGTAGGCCGTGAGTTCTTGTGTTAAAGGGCGCGCAAGCTTGCGGTAATAGCTATGGCGACCGACAATACCGCGGAGATAAACGAAGCACACAACACTGCTGAAAGCATCGCGGCTCAGACTGCAGTAAGTCAGGCTCCAGCGGCGGCGACGCGCCCAATCACGCCATATTTTCTGTGGCCCCTGAGACTCCCCCAGCACCCGCTGTGCCTGCCACCGCCCGTGCTGCTGAGGCCCGCACATGATACGTGTAACGCTATCTCACTCCGTGATTCCCTCGTATCACCCCTCCTGTAGGTTGGGTCGTGTGGGCGCACCTCATCCCACGGGTAACATTATCACACCCCCTGCGGGGTGGAGTCCTGTGAATGCGGCATATCTCACGGGTCACACAAGATATCACCCTTCCTACAGATTACCACACCCGCGTGATCATTTTTGGACCTCCAAAATTGTTACCGCACGGGTGTGTTATTTTGTGTCACCTACGTTAATTACACCGTGTCTGGAAAAACCCGGCACCTTGTCAGCACCATGCCGGGCGTGCGGTCACACGTGGTCAAGTGGCCGAGCGGGCTTAGGCATAACTTGACAAGAACGTGACTTCGAACGCCACCTTGATAAATTTTTGTCGACATACTCTTGTGTAAAATGCACCCAAAATATCGTCCGGCGAAACGTGACATTTCCTCAGCATCCCACAGAGCGTGACACGTTCTGTGGTCAAGTGGCCGAGCGGTCTAAGGCGCTAGTTTAAGGCACTAGTTCGAAAGAGCGTGAGTTCGAATCTCACCTTGATCATTCTTTGTCGGAATACTTTTGTTGAAACTGCAACATTAAGGCGATTTCACACAAGCTCGATTTTTGTCGTCATTCTGACTCGTGTTACGTGGTGAAGTGGTCGAGCGGTCCAAGACATTATCTCAAGGCACTCGTTCGAAAGAGCGTGAGTTCGAACGTGACATTTGTTCAGTTTTTGTCGAAATTTTTTTGCGCCAAACGAAACACTACCGTTATGGAAGTGACTAAAGATAACACCCCAATGAAAATGTGCAAGAGCCACGACCGTGTGATAAATATCTTTTACCTCTGGTCACACGGTCACAGAAGATACCACACCCCCTAAGTTGAGCCGAAAATATATATTCTACAGAGCCCCCTCACACCGGTGTGGTAGGCCGTGAGTTCTTGTGTTAAAGGGCGCGCAAGCTTGCGGTAATAGCTATGGCGACCGACAATACCGCGGAGATAAACGAAGCACACAACACTGCTGAAAGCATCGCGGCTCAGACTGCAGTAAGTCAGGCTCCAGCGGCGGCGACGCGCCCAATCACGCCATATTTTCTGTGGCGCCTGAGACTCCCCCAGCACCCGCTGTGCCTGCCACCGCCCGTGCTGCTGAGGCCCACACATGATACGTGTAACGCTATCTCACTCCGTGATTCCCTCGTATCACCCCTCCTGTAGGTTGGGTCGTGTGGGCGCACCTCATCCCACGGGTAACATTATCACCAGCTGATTATCACATCCCCTGCGGGGTGGAGTCCTGTGAATGCGGCATATCTCACGGGTCACACAAGATATCACACCCCCTACAGATTACCACACCCGCGTGATCATTTTTGGACCTCCAAAATTGTTACCACACGGGTGTGTTATTTTGTGTCACCTACGTTAATTACACCGTGTCCGGAAAAACCCGGCACCTTGTCAGCACCATGCCGGGCGTGCGGTCACACGTGGTCAAGTGGCCGAGCGGGCTTAGGCATAACTTGACAAGAACGTGACTTCGAACGCCACCTTGATAAATTTTTGTCGACATACTTTTGTGTAAAATGCACCCAAAATATCGTCCGGCGAAACGTGACATTTCCTCAGCATCCCACAGAGCGTGACACGTTCTGTGGTCAAGTGGCCGAGCGGTCTAAGGCGCTAGTTTAAGGCACTAGTTCGAAAGAGCGTGAGTTCGAATCTCACCTTGATCATTCTTTGTCGGAATACTTTTGTTGAAACTGCAACATTAAGGCGGTTTCTCACTCCCCCGATTTTTGTCGTCATTCTGATCCCGGACAAAAAACTGTTTCTTATATTGTAAGGTCAGAATTTACACTTTTCCGGCTGCCAATTTCTTATTTCACGTTTCCAACCGGTCATGTGTTTGGAAATGATGATAATTTTTCATCAGTTGGCGCGTTTGCTTTTTGCGTTTGGAAATGCACACCACACGGATAAAAACATCGATTGCGCAGCAAGTACTGGTCGTAGCGAGTTCATCAAGGGCTCCGGCCACCCCTCGGAGCACTGTGCTGCCATCTCAGCCGTTCATATGCGGTAATCGCGTGGCCAGGTGCGCTCAAATCAAAATATGTCGGCGAGCTGACACACACACCGGACCGCTTGCTCAGGCCTGCAATGAGACGCAGCAGGATAATCCCAATACACGCACAACGGTGGACGATATCTTCATTTTCTCGCTGTCTAGATCACCCCTCCTGCTGAAACTTGCCGTGATGAGAGCTCCATCAACCCCTCTCTGTCGGAGGGGCTGTGTCATTGCTGTTGGTTCGGTCAGTGGAGAGGGATACCTACTGCGTCGCCGGTGACACGGCAAGAAACCTGTACGTCAGTGAGCGGCATGATGATGTTATTTTTCGAACAAAGACAGTAGTCAGTCGACCCTCGCCAACGTCGTTGCTAGATATGCGGACGTGAAAAAGCTATTACCGATAACCGGCTATGAGGCGTTATTCTCAAAATCCAATAACCGGTACAACCGTTTTTTTTCAGCCCCGATTTGTCGGTTAACCGGTTAACTGGATCATGTAAGGAAACGCCTCCGCAATCTCTCAAACTTGGGTCTGTTTTGTGGCTATATGGCATACACGCCATCGTTCAACCACCCAGTCCGTGTTCCGCCGGTGTACGGCGCAGTACTCCACTCACACGATGTATTGTCGTAGTGTCAGAGAAGAGATGGGCACCAGCATGGAACAACCATAGAGCAAAAACCGACTAGGAGGTGCTATTCTCAACTAAAGAACCACCGAACAACCGGTTATTCAGCGCCAGTTGACCGGATGACCGGTCAACCGATTATAACCGTTTGAAAAACGCCTACTATTACAAGTACCTCCGTTTTTTTTTTCTTAACAACCGTCACTCATGAACGCCTGGTGTTTTCCGAACAACTGAGTATTACCGGTTATTTTTTAAATGGTGCCCATCTCTATTCGTTGCTCAGCCTCCCATCGCGTCACGTTCTCTGAAAACTATATCACAAGAAGCATCATACACACAGCTACGGGCGGATGGCCTTGTGGCATATATTGTTTCGGTCAGTGACGAGGGGTCGCTACGAAACCAAACCTGTCGTGGCACAAATCTCTCAAAAGCTATTTGTTCGAGCGGGGGGGCTTGTCGAACAACAGCAGTTATTGCCCCCCTCGCCAACTTCAATCCTCAACCACCCAGCGTCTCACGGTCTGTAGCAGACCACCCCACATGAGGCACCATACGCACAGTTACCGGCAGATGACTCTTTTGCTGTGGTGTCACCCAGTGCACAGAGATTCCCGAAAAAACAAACCGAAAATACAAACGGCTGCATTCCATGGCCACCGGTGCAATACAAACACCTGCACTTCAAAAAACGTGTTGACGGACACGATGATCTTGTTTTCCGAAAGGGAAATTGCATATTTTTGAGTTGGATTCTTAAACCTTACAAGAAACCGCCCAATATTGCGTCCGGAAAAACCAGCTTCCGTTCAGTATCACGCCAAGCACATGACAGCACGTGGTCAAGTGGCCGAGCGGTCTAAGGCGCTAGTTTAAGGCACTAGTTCGAAAGAGCGTGAGTTCGAATCTCACCTTGATCATTTTTTTCGAATCGAGGCCAGTTGATAGACAGCCCTCGTCGTCAGACTTTTTTTTTTATCAGTAAACCCACGAGAAAACGAATTCGCTTGCATGGCGTGGTCTTGTTATCTGCCTGCATAGTTATCCTCGCTGTCGTTCATCACGGACTTCCGTTCGACACGTGACCAAGATGTATATGTATACATACAAACGTGCCTCGTCGCTCAATGTAGCGCTCTGTTACATTGCACGTGTCCTTCGCTGCTGTAGTAGTGATGGAATCGGGATCTGGTAATCTCGAAGTCCCACATGTACGTTGAAACCGGTGGATCAAATGCACAGAATGCGCGGGAAGAACCGACAGGGAAAAAGAGTGACGATGAGCTAAAAGCGACCAAAGTAGTACGCCAACGAGTGAGAAACAGTTCCATGTACAGTCGAACCTCGGGTAAGGACACAGTCACACACGTTTTTTTTGCTTAACAAAGTGTCCCGGCGAAGCGTCCTGAAGGCTGATACCCCTCCTTATGTTGTACGTTCTGCGAGCCACCATGCCTGTAATATATTGTTGTCCGTGTCCGAGGGAGTTCCCTTAATGTTGGTGTTCCTAAGCTGGGCACGACTGTACATGTTCAGCCAGTATGCCCCCACCACGAAAGACACTTCCTGCTATCCATATGTTGTGTAGTTAAATTAAGTGTCTAACCGGTTCTCACAAAAGTTTTGTACGGCTGCAATTTGGAATGACGTTGTTCGTCTTGGCTTGGTGTTTGCGGCAGGCGGCTGAGCAGCTACGACTGCTGCAGGAGAACAGCGCGAGGAAGAACCGGGATGCCATGGCAGAAAAGGTACAGAGGTTTCCTCCTACTACCTGACTGGCGTGTGTGTGTCTATGCAGCATCGCAGCAGTACACGTATGTGTGTGTGCGTGTGTGTTTGTTTGCGTCGACCGCGCGACTAACCAATGAAAATACGTCAGTCTCAGTGCGGTTGAAAGCACAAAATGCTTGTATAGCACATGTGTGTGCATGCGCGTCTGCGATTGAGGTATTGGGGTGTCACCTGTATCCACCTATTTTCGTTGTAATGACACAACGCACAGACGTGGCGTGGATTCCGACCACAATTCCATTTAACGCTACAAACAGCTATCATTTTTTACTGCATTCCTGCATTTCTTCCTTCGATCGCAATACCCGCTCGTTGCGTACTTGCATACACCCATCGTATGTACACCCGCAGGAGAAGAAGGAAGCAATGGCGAAATTCAGGGCGGACCGGGTAGCGCGCGCAGCGGCACCGCAGAATGGCGACAGCGGGGTGGAAGGTGATTGGACGATTCTTGTAGCATGTAGCATCGATGTTGTGCGAGGTTGGCAGAAGTTGTTTGTTGTGGTGGTTGTCGTTCTGAGTTGCTGTTCCGTGTAAGTTAGTGGCCCCTCATTGGCTGTTCTCATGAGCTTGTCGAGCACAACCCAAGGGTCAGCGTTGTAGAGTGTAAGCAACTTGAGTTGAAGCGGCTAGAGTACAAACTACAAGTCAGGCGTCGTGAAAAAACTGCTTCGACAACAAACAGCAGGTGATAGAACCTTCGTCACAACGGCGGTGCCGGACGTTTGAGTGAGAATATCGGAAGGTCCCGAGTTCTTGTCTGACACAGTTTGATTTGAAACAAAGCCGTTAGCTGACGAATACAACTGCTTTCAGGCCCTCTTCCCTCACCTGCTGGTAACAAGCCCCGTTCCAACCCCCTCGCCTGCGTCTGCATCTTCACTTTTTGGGGACCGTGCTTTGCCGTTGACCTCTCAACCCCCGAACACGTGGTACCTCCCAGAGACGAAGGGCGGCCGTCGGTGAAAACGGCAAAGTAGAAGGAAGGCGTTTGCTCCGTGTGAAGCGGGGGGAGGGGGGGGGATGCAGGGGCGGGGGCGATTCCACACCTACCTGTCGTCCGTCTAGCGTGTGAAGTAGAGAAGGAGAGACATGTAGTCTGTTCGGAGTCTGTTCGGTTGTTGGGGCGGTGGGGGGGGGGGGTACTCATAGTCGTGCATGCCGTAGTCGTTAGACCATTGACCTCGCATCCCTACAAAGCCGGGACGGAGCACGCCGGGTTCTTACCGGACCAGGCTCTCTCATCACCAAGCGCGAAGCGCCGTGAGGTATTCGGCGAGTCGCATGAAGGGTGCGCTGCACGGGGGCGGGGGGGGGCAGGTCTACATGTTGCAGCAGCGTGCGACCAACATGCGATCGAAGGCGTTTCGCTTTGCCAGTAGGGGGGGGTGGGGAAGACTGCGTATACACATCACCCTCGACGCTGTAACAGGGAGCGTGTCCCCGGAGTTTGCCACATCGATCGGTGGTAATTCTGCTCCTCGAGGTCATTACAACCAACCGACGAGGTGACCGGGTGATTGTTTACACGACCCCAATTTTTTTTTTTTGTACTTATCGTTTGTTTCTAGACAGGTCTAGCTAGGTCTTTACGAACGAACACGAGAGTTCGTTTATTTGCCATCGGAAGACAAAAGTGGAGGAGGAAGAGGTGGGATATATGGAGCTCATAGGATGAGGGTGCTTTCCATGCTGCTAACGGGATGTGAATGGCAACAACCATGTTACCATAACCTTTTGTTTCCACACGGAGGGAACAAACAACATCCACTCGTGCCTCGTGCAGAACAAGAGGAAGGTGATGCGCGTCTGGTGGCTGGAGTTTCTTGCGCGCGTGCACACATACATCCATGCGCATCACGGTACGACGTTAGCGGCGCTGCTTCGGCGTCGTTGACGAGGAGAGGCCTCCCCAGATGGAAAACACGCCGCACCCAGCAAAATACTGATGCGTGGTCCGGCACTCTTCGTGAATGAACCGCGGCTTTCATAATTCATCGTGTTTTGATTCTTTTTCGGAGATTGTGTCGCAGCTTGCCTCGGGCACCCGTGCTGGTCCTCTGGGAGTTTTGGATGTTGAGGTGGTGTGCGATGCTGCAGGTGTGACAAGGAGGGTTACGGTAAGGGTTAGTGGATAATAATTAATCCCGATCAGCCCCCCTGCTTGATATGATACTGTGAAACCTAACCGTACGTATCATTCTCCTACTAGAGGACAAAAATTGAATCCTTTCTTCTTTCAGCAGGTGGGGGCTCGGTGCCCGTTGCTGGTTCGCCGTCTAGATCGTGGGCTAAACTAGCACATATGCATACGACTTAGGCGTTGAACCAAGGGTCTCGTCTCGGAACCAGAGCAGACTTTTCCGCCCATGAAAAAGCCCGTACACAATGCCCTGTCATGCCAGTCACGTAAGCGTGAGTAAGAGAATGGTAGTGTAGCATGTTAGTGCGGGGTGTTGGGGTCTCTTGCTTGCCCTTTTCGTGCCCCGTTTTCTTCCTTGCTAGGCGTGTGGGTACCAGCTAGTGGGTACACTGTCAGGGGGCATGATCTGCGTCGTACGAGAACGCTAACCAGAGTGAAGCAAAAGACGCAAGACACACAAAACAATCGATCACAATTCTGAATTTTGTGTGTACACACGTTTGTTGCTCTACCTGAACAAAGCGTATCAGATCTTCGGACGTGCCACGTACAGCTTGTGTTTCTTGTTATGGGTCACTGTGTTTGCGGCCACATCGCATGCGCAGGACAAGAGGTTGACCTCGCACATGCCCACTCCGACACTGCGCGCGAGCTTCGCGTGAACAAATGGTCTTCTCATTTCCTTCGGAGGAAGACTTAAAGAGACCCCGTCCACAACAAAAATATAAGAACAATGTCGCGGAACCCTCGGTGTGTTCTACGAACCCCAGTTCAACCTCATATGCACGCATGCGTGCTTCACTTGAGTTCCGATTCCGTGATCTAAAATCGAATCTGAAAAGCCAAATGGCTGGTCTCCCAGTGGGGCCCGCACTCTGGAACATCCTTAACAAGAGAGCAAGTGTCGTGCTTTTAACGTGTCTATTTTGGCTGGTCAACAGAATCTAATACCTCCCCATCTCTAAAAAAAGCTAAATCCGTGTAAAAAACGGGGGTCTGGCTAGTCAGACCAGCTATTAGCTACACTCAAGTGTTCCGGGCTTTCCACCAGCAACACCTGCCCCCCCCCCCCCCCCAC